AAGCTCCCAGTGAAGTCAATGGAGATACACCAGGAACTAAGATGGCCATGGTATTAGCCCAAACATTGGGCTCAAACTGCTTGAGGTCTTTCAAGTTCTGCATGATTATTTTTAAGGTTATGGAGAGAAGATTATCCATGACTGTTTTCAAAGATTTATCCCTCCTACTCTCAAAGTGGCCTTTCATTTCTTTTAAAGCTCTGGCTCATGGTTTCCAGGAGAACATTATTTATGGTGGGCCCAATCATTCTTTTCCAAAAGAAAAGCTGATTCATAATTTCAGATTTTGAAATCACAGGTCATGAACTAGTATCCCTTGAATTCCAGAAAGTTGCATTGAAGGCAATGGGCCTTAAACAACAATATCAAGCAGTATGAATGACACGGATGTGCAACCCAAATGATAAATGACCTCACAAATAACCTCAATATTTGCTTATTCCCATACCCAACCTTTCTTATACACAGACAAGGGCTCCCAGAGCCAGTGTTGGCACCATAAGACTTCCCTTAGGACTCTAATGACCTTAAAAGGCAACCCCCAAAAGCACCCAGGTCATGGAAAGCCTTCTTAAAGGTCTTGAGGGAAAGAGGAGGAGGAAATACAGTCCCAGGAGACATCTGATAAGACATAGAGGTGAAGGTTGTTTATTTCCCCAGGCAAAAGATATCTAAGATCTTGGAGGAAGAGTTAAGTTGTTTGGGTAGAGGAAATGCAACATAGGGTAAGGGGTTCTGTGATCTGAGGGGATAGGTGGAGGTGAGTGTTATACTCTGTTTTAAAGGTCCGAATATTAGCCACTATTAAAACCTCAGAACCTAACTACTGCATTATTCACATGTGCCTGCTTATCTAATACTTAATACTCCCAAATACTTGGGGAAGAAGCCCAGCTGTGATCACACTGGAAGGAAATATCTGCATCTTAGACCGGGGGTACCTCTCAGGGAATAGAGCAGACACACATATCTAGCTGCAGTGACATCATTAGAAGCCTGAGAAAAAAATCAATAAATAGTAACTTCAAAGCTGAGGAAACTGTGGTGGAAGGGGAAGCAAGAATGAGACTAAGTAGTGTCAGACTTCTTTACGATTTGACATCAAATTTCTCAAGTGGCTAAAAGTTTTAAAATGCGAAGGGACACGGACAACTTAAAAAAAGAAATCACATTTGTTTTGACCATTCAGAAAACAGGATGGATGAAAACAAAATAATTTGAGGCTATGTACAGTTGTGGGCCAATATTTGCAAAAGATATGCCCACATTTACATTTTAAATCCATATTTAAGCACCTAAATGTATGACTTGATTTTCAAAAGAGCCAAGCACCAACTGCACAATGACTTCAATGGGCACTCTTGAAATCAGTGGGTGATGTTGGGTGTTCAGCACTTTTGAAAATGAGGCCAACTTAACTTAGGTGGCTAAATAGGGAATTAAGAGACTAACTAGGTATTATAAATCTTGGCCTTGAAGCCTTAAAACTCCACCTTTCCTGTGAACGATTTCCTGCTTACCGCATGAAAGCCATTGAATAACACAGAGTTCCTGTGAAGAGGAGAGACAAATCCTGCAGGAGAAGAAGTGGTTTAGGACTCCAGGACTACAATGTGTGAATTCTAGTTTTGCTTAAGTTCTTGTGTATTAAATCTAGCTTCCACAGAAGGAAATAAAACAGAAAACACCAGTATAGCTTAATGGGAAACAAGCTACCATCAGACCCAGACTTCCCTTATATATTTTTTTCTTGATAGAAAGTGCTCTTATTAAGTGTTCTTTTAATAGATAGGAACTCTTATTAAATCAACTTAAAAACTATTTTTCCTGCTCTCTTTCCAGAAGGCACATGCCACTGCTAATTGAGAGAAGCTTTTAAAAAAATTGACACCCTTTATCCCTGAACAAAGATTACATGCACACTAAGTTGTAATCCTTAGCTTTGCAGTATTGCTTTACGAGGTTAAGAAGATGAATGTTCATTGCTTTTAATCCCCACCATGATTTATGAGGCTCTGGGTATCCTTTCCCCAGAGCATCTACAACGGTGTGGTTGTTCTGCCTGCTGCTTAAATTACAGAGACATCTGCAAAGTAAATTATGGATTGTTGTCTTACAGCCGAGCTGCCTCTTCATCTCTCCTGCAGTATTTCTTTGATTGTAACAAGAGGATTTTACATTTTTACTTGTTTGTTTACTCTGTTTGTTTCTCCCAGAGTGTGTGATATTATGATGACCTGGATTACTGCCTGTCATGCTAACTTTCAAATAACATTACTACAGCTGTAAAAGCCTGGGAGGGTGGTAAGTGGGTGGGAGCTGAAATCACCCTGCCTTTTTTTTTAAAGCTCTTCAGCGTTCACAAATCTGGAATTGATTTTCCTAAACTTAACTGAGAATTCTGTGACCAAAAGAAACACTTGAATGTTCTGCATCTATAATGAATACACAACAGTGTTCTGTTGCCCTGACTGATCTCAACTATTATTTCAAGATTAGAATTGCACACACACCCCTTATACCCCCACAAATAAATGTAGTCCTATATCAATGCATATGCAAATCTTATATGCTTGTGTATGTTTATATGAGTATATACATATATAAATGAATCTATACCACACAGTGAACATTTGAAACCTAGCTGTCTAAATTTAGGCATCTAAAAGCTACATTTGTACACCTAAATAAGTGACTTAATTTGCAAAGATGCTGAGCACCTGTACGCCTTTGATATGACAGTTGTGGGTGCTCAATAACTGACAAATAGACACCTTGTTTCAATGGCTCAATATTGATTTATAGGCTAATTGTAAGAATAAACGTGTTGGAAATTTGTTATGGTGAATATACAAATTTGATGAGCTTCTCCTAGTATGCTTAAGGGGACTGAGGTACACAAGCATTCAAATCTCTAGTGAAAAGATTACTTCAATTTTGCTTGCAAATAAAGTGCTGGCAATCTCCATGCTGAAACAGCCAATCACACTTCCCCCCTCTTATTTGTTCTTTATATTTGTTATCCTTTGTGGATGATGAATCATGATTCCTGATGATAAACATGCACTGTCAAGTCTTGACACAAACAGCACTAGAAAAACGTCTAGTGCCATGTTGTCTGCCAACGTTTCCTAAAAGGCATTATTTGTAATTCCAACTCGAATCCCACTGTCAAAAAATTAAGCAAGCAAAGTGAAAGACACACAGTAATAGGTTATCTAGGGCATTCTCATGAGGCAGGAAATGTATTTTCAACAGCTGATAGCACAACATGCTCCTGGAACACAACTACCAAAGAAACTAATCAAGATGTTGATATCACTAAAAATCAGAATCTTAAATTATGCATCAGGAAAGAGAACCATCAAGTTATGAGACCTCGGTATTATATCACCAGGTCTGTTTTGATTTGACATACACAACACTGTCCCATGAGGAGACACACATAGTAGGGACATGTGCCACTTTTATTATATTGCTCTTCACAAAGGATTCTAAATGGAGATAGGGCTGAACCAAAATCAGGGTTCCAGACAGTCCCAAATTTGCAGTGTTTGAGATTTTTCATCAGAATGTTGTGGCCCAGACTCACCTGTGAATTCAAAGTATTTTACATACTACATACTGTGCATACAGAAGAATTACTGAAATACAGCTGCCTCAGTGGCAGAATGTGGCATCTGTAACCCCATTACCACTCAACTCTTTAGGCCAGAATGTGAAGTACATCCTATTGAATGGCAACTATGAGAGTTTTAGGCGTACAGAATGGCATTACAGAAGATGGAGTTTGGGCAGGCCAGCAGGACGAATATCTTACTGTGAAGTCAAATACAAGGATTATTTAATTACCAAAACCATCAGGACCTTGGTTTTGCATCCCATCCAAATGATGGCACATCCAACATCACATTGTCCCCAGCGCTATGCTCGGACTGTGATCTAGTACTGCTTCAGAGGGAATATGGACACCTATTGAATCACCAACACTACTGCCCTCTTCATGTAGGCATTCCTTGAAGTAATCCATCCAATGCTGACTTGGTTCAATCTTACTTTCCTCATTACATTGAACAGAAGCACAAACAAGGTGGTATGATTGCATATATTCCACATTATAAATGTAACTCAACTCCCCCGCCCACTTTGCAGAATGAATTGTTCACTAGACCAAATGGCTCATCTAAATTGATTGTCATCTCCTGCGGATTGAGATGCAGACTCCAAATTTATTTTGATTTCACCTTCAGAGTGTATAATATAACTGCCATCACACATATGACAGCAGTGCTTAAAACCAGCTACCTCCATCTGGTCTAAACTTTAAATAAGCATGGAATATTATCAATGGTTCTTGTTCCCCAGCATTAGATTCCTGACATCAATAAAGGAAAAGAAGCTTGGAGTTTGATTCCACAATTGATCTAGACAGTAGCATATTAATATTAATAAACATGAGGGAGCCTGTGACATTGTCTTCCTTTCCTCTCTAAAAGAGCTTTTACTGAGGTATGACTTTGAAATGAGACATATCTCATTTGACAAAAGTAATACCCTGCAATTATGAGAAAAAAAAAACATTATAAAAGTGAAGCTCAAAAAGAGAAAATGGATTTCTGTCCTTTAAGAGGCACTGAGTAGGCTGCAAAAGGACTTTCATTTCCTCCAATCTGCATGTAAATTGAAACAGTCTGAAATGCATGACATACAGTACAGGCATCTGTAAATATAATTCCATGAGCAGAACTGGTCACTTGTACAAGACTCTGGTTTGGACAGAATATTTCTTTTGAGACCTGCACCAAACACTCTATAATTTCTGGATTCTTCTTCCTTGATTTTATGTGGCAAAAACTGGTTCAAGTTTATATACAAACAAAATTGAAAAAGACACTGTATTTTAAACTACAAATTAAATGGATTTGTTTTAGAAAGGATAATTTCATTTAGCACTGGTTTCCAGCAGATGATGCAGAGATCTATAAAATAGAAAGATCTACCTGTGATTATGGCGCCACATCATCCAAGATCTTAGAGAAGTACAGTTAAGTCCTTAGCTGGCCTCATTCTCCAAAGTCATCACTTGATTCGTCACTAGAATCTGCCAAAGCAAACATACAAAAGTAAAATATTTAACGTCAACAGTTTAGGTTTATGATTTGAATGCATGAAGAAACATAAAAAGTATCTGATTAAAAAACTCAGTCCTATGGAGGGGGCAAACAAAAAAATTACAACAGCATTTTTTCTCTGGATCTTGATGTATAATGTACAGTAAGTGTGAGGGGGAGTGGCTCCTTGAGGTATATGAACCTCCAACTGAGAAAACATGCAGAAACACTGAAGTGCCCATTTTTCTAGCAAGCTGCCTAAAAACCTGTTGGATTTCTGTTGCCAGTGCCCATTAATGAAAATCATGATGCTAGGAAACCTGTCATAATTTGGATTCACTGTTATGGCTGTATTTCCTTCATGCCAACGATTATTCATCTCAGCATGAAAATAAACGTACAATGATTTCTCCAATGGATGACACAGTGATGGCATGAGTTAATAGCATATTTAGTGTGAAATGCTGTGTTACATTCTGATTGTTTTGAAGTTAAACTGTGTAACCACCATGGTTTACTTCAGAATCACATACTGACTTAACAAGTGCACCACTGGACTGAAGATGTTATTAAAAAAGCCTATAATGGGGGTAAGTAACACAGCAAGGCCATGTGACTGACTCTCATTTTTTGGAGCTTTGGCTTCAAAGCTGAAAGAATGAATAGGTCACGAGTGAAATACTTCAGATAGTGTCTTATGATTACTATAGGATTGACAATGTGCTTAGTATTGTAAAAAACAGTGCCCACCCCTGAGATTTTGATGATCTAGAGGACAGAGAAAGACAGACAAGTTACATTGGTAAATGTAGAAGAAGTTACCCAAGATATCTGTGGATAACGTTTTTAAGTAACGTACACACTGGCCACTTCTGCATAGGCGTATTCCAATACCAGAAAAAAAAAAAAGATGGTCATCAAGGATAAGGCTTAAGTGGCTTAGCTGAGTTGTGGGACATTCATAGCCCCATCCCAAACTGTGCCGATTGCTAAGCAAGGATATCAGTTTCTCACTTCTATGACCACCACCTTCTTAAAAGTCACAGAGTCACACCCCCAAGAAGTTAGAGTTATTTCACTCTATAAATCAATAAACAGTGCAGTGATGACCAAATAGCATACGCACCAAAATGGGGGAGTTGACATCGTTTTCTTGTGGGGAAAAAAAAAAGAAACCAGCATAACCATTGGAACTTCTTGAAGGCACTGGCAACGGAACAACTCTACTACTGTTCCGCTCCTGCGCTGTCGTTTATCCTTATGTGACATTTGATGTGACGCTAATCACTTTCACTACATTACCAATACAACAAGAAAGCTCTGGGGTAAAATCATGGTACGGTTGAAGTCAATACTATTGATTTGATCCGAGTAGGATCCTTCATCAATTGTTTGTTCAGTTGTTAGTGCACTGGAGTCTCTGAAGGAAAATGAAATGAAAAACAAACAAAAAAAGAGAAACGGAGAACAGAAAGGAGTAGAAGAGAAAAAGAAAATGAAACAAACAAACAGAATCAACAAGAAATAAGGCTGAGAGGAAAATAAGGAAAGACTATGAATGCCCAGATGAAAAGGGGAAAGATACAAAGAGACAGAAGTAGAGTTGAGCTGACAAGCAACTTTTCAACCTCTACCTTTGGTATCCCATGTAATTTTCATGTTAGATAATGTGGGTTACTAGATTACACTGTCCATCAATGCATGTACAATACTGGCCTAAACATGAACACAGCAAAAATAGCTAATTTCTGCATACGGATATATACAGCAGTGGTTTTCAACCTGTGGTCTGTGGACCCCTTGGGAGTTCACAGACTATGTGTAAAATTTCCAAAGGGGTACACACCTCCATTCACAATTTTTTAGGAGTCTGCAAATGAAAAAAGGTTGAAAACCACAGATCTATAGTATAGGCAGAAAAGAGAAGTAAACTATCACAAACCTATCTATATTTAAAAACATGCATTTTATTACATAGCTGTCTAAGACAGTAGAACGTTAATTATGAATTTATAAATCCAAAGCCTAATTTTGCAGTCCTTACTCAGGCTATATTCCCATTGGTTTAATCAATGAGCCCATGATAGTCAATCCATCTTCTGTGTATGGGTTATCAATACCATGCCTTTTAAACAAAAGCTAGCACCAAAATGTCCACTGGCTTCATTGGAAGCAGGATTGGGTCCCAAATGACTTGTTTGTAATTTTGTATGCCGTGTTATTGTTGTTGTCATGTTGGTCTCAGTATATATATCAAGCTTAGACGGAGGTCTTCAGGGAAATGTACTGGGAAATGTACTCAGAGTATCACAGCTAAATATGAGATGGAACAGATTTAGCTGTGAGTATGTTTCCCAGACCTGAAGAAGAGTTCTGTATAAGGTTGAAAGCTTGTCTTTCTCACCAACAGACATTGTTCCAATAAAAGATATTACCTCACCCACCTTGTTTGTAATTTTGGCATTAACTTATAACTTCTAATGAAACTTCACTTTATTTGGCCTGGTAGTGTTCACCTAAGAGAATAAATTCCCTTCACTGCAGGAAGTGCTGGGTGAAATTCTATGAACTGTGTTATGAAGGATGTCAGACTAGATGACCAGAGATCCCTCCTTCTTTCAAAAATCTCTGAATCTAACGTAAAAAATGTAATAGGAGAGCCAAATCTAGAACTAGTCAGAAAATACCAATTTGTGGAACCCAAAATGTTCTCATGGAAACACAAGTGCTTGGAAACCATGAGAATCTTGGCTCTAACCTAGGTTTGACTCCCAGCCCTGCAGCTGATCTCAGGGTTCATCAGGCCAAGCTCTCAGGGTAGCTGGCTTCTCAGGTTCCACAAGTTGGGCAGTCCTAGTGAGCCCACTGGTCCAGGAGTTTGGAAGCCATGGGATCTATGGCCCTGGGGCAATGTGCATGACTGGGCTGCCCCAGAGTCATGGACCCTGGGGTCCACAAGAGCTGATTGAAATGATTCTTGTGAGATTCAGTGCTTCCCAGTAGCAAATAGCAGCAGTGAACCTGACATGAATCATGTCAATTTCACTGAGCAGCTCCTTTCAGAATCATTGTTTCTGTGTTTCCAAAAGAAAAATATTTTTGAATGTCCTCTTCATGGAACATTTCAAAATGACAATTTTTCTTGAAAACTGGAAGTTCCAAATTTCAAGCACCTCTCGCCAAGTCCTGCTCATTTTGCTCATGAGACATCCTATTGACTTCAATGTTAAAGCAAGAAGGATTTGTATATCAAGTTTTTACTCCCAGAAAAAAGAAAAAAACGCAATTTGGCTTTTCCTTTTAACAATTTACTGGTGACCCTGCAGAATTCTCTAACTCATATTAAAACATGAACATGTTTAGGAGAAAGTAAAAAAGAAACCTTCAGAATCTCTTTGTTTCTCAGAATCTGCCTGATAGAAAGCGTGACAAAAAAATCCTTTGATCTGTCTACTGTAGTTTTGCCTTTGCCGGGTTTACATCCAATCTGCTGCAACATGCACGCGTGTGCACACCCACACGTCCAATTTTCACTTTCACCTTTCTTCTGCAGTCAGAAGTCATCAAAAGTTCTCCTAACAAATTTATACGGTAATATTATAAACTTTTTTCTCATCATGTCACTGTCATGTGCTATTGATCTGGGCTTTGTATCAGCAATATTAACTTCCTGAATCAATAACTCTTGATATCAGTTAAAAACAGAAGTCAAAAATTTTGCTTAGGGTTACACACACTGCACTGTTCTTAAGAGATACTATGGATGCTGATGTGGAAGATGGATATGTGTATTAATATACAAATGAATATTATAATACTGGAATTTTGAAAGCCAGAAATATCTAGATTTTTAGCATTAACATTGATAACCTCTATTGGTTTAAATTATTTTTAACATACAGTGAGAGCATGGTCCCATTTGTTTTCTGCTTAGCAGTTTCTACTGAAAAATACTGACAACTGGAAAGAGATGAGAGTGATTTATATTGCCAAACAAATACTTCTTTGGTATTGTAGTACTGATATTGTTATTAGTTACATTGATTTAATTTAAAAAATCTTGTCTCCAACTATTCAGTTTGCCTAGCTGGAGGAAAAGACGAGCACATACAATATGATGTATGGTTTGGTTTTATCATCTAGTCTAGACTGTGACTTAGAACTATGCTGCTTGAATACACCAGAAAATACTCATGACCACAGGGAAGTTTAGAAAAACATTTACAAAACAAAGTTAATGCTGTCAAGATTGTTATCCCCCAGGAATTTGAAGGAGAAATCCTGTTGAACTAAATGATATAGAGCCTGCATACTTGGAAGAATAGTATGCTATTTGAATTTGAAATATTTTTTAAAACAAGACAATTAACTGGAGGTCATCTACCTTAGACTAGATTAAATTACAGTTCTCTACTCCATCCTTTTTGCCTGACGTATCTGGAACTCTACTAAAGCTTCTAACAATTAATGAGAGCTGGAATACATATTCAGGATATACACTACAACAGAATAAACGGCTAGAGATTAGGGATGAGCAAAAATGAGGACCTCCAATCAGTACCTTTTTGGTTGAATTCCTTGACACATACCACCTACAATGGTTGCAGATTGGAAATGAAATTGCAAGATGACTGTTTCCTTGTTTGAATGAAAATCAAATATTACATAAACTACTATTATTTAAAATATTATACTCCAGAATGGTGTAAAACACATTCAAACTCATGATCTTGTATGTCTGCCAACAGCACTGGGGAGATGGATGTCCCAGACAACGGCCTGTGACTGTTGGCAGGTATCTACTCCACAGTTTCTGTTGTCTCCTCCTTTCCAAGATAAAACAAAAAAACTAGAGCCACCAGCTTTTGTATTCTAATGTTTGGTCCTGAACAGCCACAGCATGGTGCATTAATTAAGACAATCTCCATACATGAACAGCCTGCCAGGTGTTATGGGAAGTGAAGTGGCCATATGTTCCAGACACTTGAGG